GGGGTTGGAAGTTCTAAGGGTTTGGTAGCCAGATAGGTCAGTCCTATGTGGAGAGACGACACGGGGAGACAGGAACACCGGGAGGGACGGGCAGGCAGGACAGGCAGGGAACAAGACGTAAGCAATAAATAAAAAGTGTAGTTTCAGACCTATGTGTCAGCAGAACTCAAAGCATTCAAGTAAAAACTCATTTATTAACTTTTACATTTTAAGGTGATCTGTCCAGTGCTAGTATAAATCATACAGGTTGAGTGTGAAATGAATACGGATTACATGGGCAGAGTGACGAACACAATGCTGTCGTTTCTGACGGCCCCCCTTTCTAGTTTATTTATTTTTAAGGGGTAAAACTATACACAACATATTATAAGAGGAAGTGTAGTATGCAAATTGCAATTAAACTGTATTTATGCTGTAAAGAAATGTTTGTGACCAAAGACTATAGAAGCGCACTCTGTCTCAGATCTCTGTGCATGTCTGTGTGACTCTGCAGGTACGGCAGGTGGCTGAAGTAGTGGGACCTGCCATCTTTGGTGGGGGTCTGCTGGGTGCATTTGCTGCCTTTGCATCTGTAATTGTGATCAGTCTACTGAGGAATTCCTAGTGAGATGAAGCCCAACAGTGAAGGTGGAGGTCAGCTTAAGCACAGACCTGCACAAAGTGTGCCCCCACCCAGCGTGAATGACATCATGCTTCCTTACTGCTAACTGCTGAAGTACTTACTAGTTAAATCTGTAAATGTGGGTAACTCTCACAACCTTATCAGATGGTCTTCATATTGATTTTGATATTCATATTACTTGTAATGTAAGAAGAGATCTGCATTCTGATCATTTGGTATAATGATGACAATGATTTTGAGTGGAAATTAAAACCCTGATAATTGACTTTGTGTGACCTGACTAATGCTTTTTCATCCTCTGGGTGTCTTATTGCTTAAATCAGTAAAATAAAGTAACTGCAGTAACTGGTCTGGCTGCTGTGATTTACTGTCAGTTTCTTTAAATGACGCACTGGGCTGGGAGAGCAGCACAGTAAATGTTCTTTATTATGGATGGGGTTCTACCATAGCCCACAGGATCAGGTTCCACATTTTAGGTTTTCAGGAGTCTTGGTTTGAGAACCACTCCAACTGAGCCACTCAACCGGTGTGTTCTGAATGTTGAGTTCATTACAAAATGTAGGTCTATATGAAATATTATGGTATTTGGCAGTTGCTAAAAATTGCACGATGATTCATGAAATGAAATTATAATTATATAATATAAACTAGATGTATTACTTACCAGTGATGAAGTGTTTGCTGCAGACAAACAAGTTTGCTATCTGGGTCCCATGTTTCCCCTCAGGGTCCCACTGAATAGCATGAAGCCATAAGATTGGCCTTTTGCTCTCTCTTTTCCTATTTGGTAGCAAGAACAGAATGTGTGGGTGTGTTTAATTATTGACGGTGCAGAACACAACAAGTATTACACCTGGTAAAAACCTCCATCCCCAACATTGGCCAGTCAATTTTACCGATTTGTGTTCATCAGAAAAAGGGAGTGTCACCCAAAACTACTTCAAGCTGATGACATGTTACTCTGGGCTAGAATGTCAAATGTTGTCATACATAACGAATTCCATTTCAGAAAAGTGATTTTATTATTTCAGTTTATTTTGTATGTACAGATATACATAGTATAACATCCTATAAACCACGGCGGCCGCCTCCCTCTCTCCAGCAGACCTGCCTCTAAGCCCGGCCTTGGCCATGAAAAGCCACTCAGCGTAAGGCAAGACACCATTACCCACACAGCCACAGAAAGGCTGACTGGATCCAACCCAGTTTGCTGGTTTCCCTGCTCAAACACATCGTAATCAGCTGATGATTACGTGAACTGGTGACCTTCAGATTGCAGGCACACAGGCTTAGCCCACTGAGCCATAAGCTGTGCCCCCTAATTAGCCCATTCATTCTACCCTTTGTACTTAAAATAGACACAATGCAATTAATACATTTATGTTGCAAATGTAAGGTGGCACCTCAACACTGACCAGGGAGTTTAATGCTGAAATGAGGAGCAGCTGGATGGTTGAGCCTGAAGTGGATTTTCTGTTCAACTNGGTTCAGGGAAGGAACGGGACCTGGATTGCAGGAGACCAAGAGGTTTATTCAGTAATACCAAATAGCCAAATCAAGACAGCAGGCAGAAAGAATAGTCAGGGTTGGAAGTTCTAAGGGTTTGGTAGCCAGATAGGTCAGTCCTACGTGGAGAGACGAGACGGGGAGACAGGAACACCGAGAGGGACGGGCAGGCAGGACAGGCAGGGAACAAGACGTAAGCAATAAATAAAAAGTGTAGTTTCAGACCTACGTGTAAGCAGAACTCAAAGCATTCAAGTAAAAACTCATTTATTAACTTTTACGTTTTAAGGTGATCTGTCCAGTGCTAGTATGAATCATACAGGTTGAGTGTGAAATGAATGCAGATTACATGGGCAGAGTGACGAACACAATGCTGTCGTTTCTGATGGCCCCACTTTCTAGTTTATTTATTTTTAAGGGATAAAACTATATACAACATATTAAAAGAGGAAGTGTAGTATGCAAATTGCAATTAAACTGTATTTATGCTGTAAAGAAATGTTTGTGACCAAAGACTATAGAAGCCCACTCTGTCTCAGCTCTCTGTGCATGTCTGTGTGACTCTGCAGGTACAGCAGGCGGCTGAAGTAGTGGGACCTGCCATGTTTGGTGGGGGTCTGCTGGGTGCAATTGCTGCCTTTGCATCTGTAATTGTGATGAGACTACTGAGGATTTCCTAGTGAGATGAAGCCCGACAGTGAAGGTGGAGGGTCAGCTTTAGTACAGACCTGCACAAACAAAGTGTGCCCCCACCCAGCCTGAATGACATCATGCTTCCTTACTGCTAACTACTGAAATATGGACGGGGAAATCTGTAAATGTGGGTCAGATGGTCTTGATTTTAATGCACAATGGTAAACTGATAACTGCCAGCAAATGGATACTGATGTTTTGCCAAGCAGATAAGCTGACATAAGACTAGTGAACTGAGCTTTTGATACCATGCAGCACAATAATTTGTACATTTACATTCTAATCATTAGCTTTGTGCCAAAGATTTTTAAAAGTTATACTCTGCAATAAAGGGTAATTTACATCATGTAATACTTATTAAAGAATGGAATATTTATTGAAGTGATTTTTGGAACTAATCTGTTAATTTCTTATGGAGAAATTGAAACTTTGATCATTCACTTCATATGACCTGAATGTTTAACTTTCTCTTGGTGTTTTATTGTTTTCAAGGAAAAATAAAGTAACTGCAATAACTGATTTGGCTGGTTCAATTCAACCTTTCAATGAAGTTCAATTTGTATAGTGCATTTTCATAATACTATATTGTCTCTTATTATCTGTGCCCAATGGTCAGTGAGATTTATTGTCAATTTCTTTGAAATTCCCCTCATCTAATCCCCCCCCCCCAACCTCTGCAAACTCTATAACCCTCTACACACTCCCCCTACCTTTCCAAAAATGTAGTGTAATGGGTCAGCTTTGTGTGATTTTCTCGCTGTAATCCAATTCACCAGGTGCACATCTGTGGCTGTCATTTCATGTCACACTGGAGTTGGTTCGTTAGTGAAACTCTAACCTTGATATTTATACCAGCAGTACCTCTGTATAAATACTAAATCGATACTCTACAACAGGGCTGCCGAATCCTGCTCCAGGAGAGCTACCACCCTGCAGAGCTTAGGTGCAGCCCCAATTTAACACACCTGTGGCCAGTACTACGAGGTGGGGTTACTGGCTTATCGGGGAAACTTGTCAGATTTAAGGTAGTCTGGGCAAAATGCAAGGGAATGAATATGAAGTCCATTTAAACTGTGGTACCTTAAATCCAACTAGTTACCCCGATAAGCCAGTAACCCCGCTTCGTAGTACAGGCCCCTATAGTGGTACCTCAGAACTCGAACTTAATCCATTCAGAACTCTGGAGACCGAAGCGCTACCCATTGTTTCCGCTGACAAACATGCCGCGTGACTCATTTCCCCGTGCGTACAAGTTATCTTAGGTCGGCGTTCACGGTTTGACTTCTGAGATTCAGATCGAGCTCTAGGTAATTTTTTTTCGAACTGGTTGGTCTGGCTATTAAGAAATTTGAGTTCTAATGAGTTCGAGAACTGAGGTACCACTGTAATTCCTTCTCCAGTTTCCCCCCACAGTCCAAAAACATGCCAAGGTTATTTGGAGTTACCAAATTGCCCATAGGTGTGCATGTATATGTGAATGGTGCGTGAATGTGCCCTGCGATGGGTTGGTGACCCATCCTGGGTTGTTCCCTGCCCTTGTACCCAAAGGCTACAGACCAACTGTGACCCTGAATAGGACAAGTGGTTACAGGAAACTGATGGATATTCCACAGTCAGCTGTAAATATCACTATTATTGCAAAGTGGAAGAATTTAGGAACAGAATCTCAGCCACAAAGTGATAGACCTTGTAGAGTAACAGACTGGGGTTGCCAAGTGCTGAGAGCCATACAGCATAAAAGTCGCCAAATCTGTGGTGAATGAATAACTGCTGGGTTCCGAACTTCCTCTTGCATTAACACAAGCAAAACAGCTTTGTGCTGGGAGCTTCATGGAATGGGCTTCCATGGCCGAGCAGCTGCATGCAAGCCTCACATCACCAAGCACAATGCCAAGCGGCGGATGGAGTGGTGTAAAGTACACCAGCACTGGAGCAGTGGTAATGTGTTCTGTGGGTTTGGGTTTAGCAGATACCAGGAGACCTTTACCTGCAAGTACAACTGGTGCTGGGAATGATAGGGAATGCAACGTCCCACACTATAGTTTCATATTTGTATACAACTGAGCAAAACGAAAGCACTGGGGCACTGTAATATGTAAACAGGGGGCAGTGTGTGGCTCAGTGGGCTAAGCCTGTCTGCCTGTAATCAGAAGGTCACTGGTTCAAACCCAGCCTCAATACATCTGTGGGTCCTTGAGCAAAACCCTTAACCCCCAGCTCCCTGGGCGCCCCAACAGGTGGCTGCCCTTCACAGACAACTTATAGAGCAAGTTGAGGGAGGCGTAAAAACAATTTCCCCATGGGGATAAATAAAGTATCAATTACAATTATATATTATATATACTGGGCGGGGGGCAAACTTAACATGGAGACAAGGTTCAGGGCAGCAGGAACACTAACTACAAAGGCAGACAGACCTACAGCACCAACACTAAACTCCAAAGTGACTGACATCTCTGACATCAATGATCAAACTTGGGAAGGTGGCATAAGCAGGCACATATATACACAGATAACAAGGAGTCAGGAAGAAGCAGGTGTAAGTGATTGACACATCAGGGCTGGAAACAAAGAAGCATGCTGGAGTGATATGGGTTGGCCAGCAACATCTGCTGGCCAAACAGGAACATGACGGAGCTGACTGGGACAGATCCTGACAAATATCTCAAAATTAAAGACGCACAATCCCACTTTTTATGTCCTGTTACTAATACTGATGCCAGGGCTTTGGGTATTGGTCAGTACTGAGTATCGATCCGATACCAGTATTTAAGCTGTAGGCTTTGTCTCACTGCGTGGAAGGGACTATGATCATTCTTTTATGTGTAAGGCAACATCAGACTTAACTTAAACAAAGCTTTCCTAACTTTGTAAAACAAAATGTAACACATGCATGCATATATGTATGGTAAATATCAATTTAGTAAACATATGTATGTATGTATTTACTGTCACGACTTAGGTTCAGGGAAGGAACAGGACCTGGATTGCAGGAGACCAAGAGGTTTATTCAGTAATACCAAACAACCAAATCAAGAGAGCAGGCAGAAAGAATAGTCGGGCTTGGAAGTTCTAAGGGTTTGGTAGCCAGATAGGTCAGTCCTACGTGGAGAGACGAGACGGGGAGACGAGACGGGGAGACAGGAACACCGGGAGGGACGGGCAGGCAGGACAGGCAGGGAACAAGACGTAAGAGACGAGAGACAAGGGACTTCAGAGGGCTGAGTACAGGACATTGAACAGGCTACAATACTTGGTGAGGATCGCGAAGGCTGGCTGGTTTAAATAGAGCCCAAGAAGGAGCGGATTCCGCTTTGCTGGTACGTCCCACCCTGCCGGGCCTGACATTTACCTTACTTACAACCTGAGTTCTTTTAAGAAGGATCGCCGCAAAATTGAAGTGATGCTGCTTAGTGGCAGTAAAGGGAAGGATGAAGGCAGGTTACCTTTTGATGACAAAAAGTATTTGATGGACCTTATTACTGCTTCACAAAAACAATATATGGATGGATGAGTGGATGGTTTCATTTTCAGAAAAATTACCCTAAAAATGAAGCAGTAGCACTGAGTGGCAGCAAAAGAAGGAATGAGCAACTGTAGAACACACTCTGACTTGTGAACACAGTAACTCTAAAAGCCTTTTAAAGATCTATTTTAAACTTTGCAGAGATATTGAAGGGGTGGAAAACTGGAAGTGGTCAAATTTTGAGACAAATCACACCAAAATTGAAGTGCTGCTGCATAATGATGGCAAAGAGAAGGACAGTTCAGACTCTTCATCTTGTCAGCATAACAGCAGACAGGGCAGGAACAGATCCTGACACACTGTGCTGACAAGCTCGTGGGTTCAAATTGAAGGGAATGTGCATAATAGCCTGTCCCTTTACTGTAAATCTCTTTGAATAAAAGCATCAATTAAATGTAAATGAGTTTTTTGCACATCATACTCACCAACATTTTTTTTAAATGTCCGAAGCCCCCCTAGGGTTCCATATGTACCATCAGTGTATCTATTGCAGTTCTTTCTGTTACTTCACTGAAAATTCTGGTCATACTGCAAATGAGAAATCGAATATAAATATTTAAGCATATTGTTATGACCGCTGTCCGGCAAGCAGGCAGGACGCAGGGAATGATCAAGCAGGTAGACGAAGATCCAAGAAAACGGGTTTATTCAAGGTGGACAGGACTACACAGTGACTAACATTAATGACGGACCTGGGGAAACAGACTTGAACGCGAACTAAATACAAGACAAGCAGAAAATAACAGGCAACAGGTGATCACAATCGGGGTAACACGCGTAGGTAATGAGGGGGCGTGGCACACACGAGGATCATACAAGCAGGTCATGACACATATAAAAAATTTTAACAATATAAATAAAATTTTCAGACATGGACATTTCAACATACACAAAGGGATACAAGCAGCTACCTAATTGGTGGAGAAAGATTCTGCAATTGCCATATAAGTGGAATGTGCAGTAAATTAAAAAGTGTAGTTTCAGACCCACATGTCAGCAGAACTCAAAGCATTTAAATAAAAACATGTTTATTAACTTTTACATTTCCAGGTGATCTGTCCAGTGCTAGTATGAATCATACAGGTTGAGTATGAGATGAATACGGATTACATGGGCAGAGTGACGAACACAATGCTGTCATTTCTGACCCCCTTTCTAGTTTATTTATTTTTAAGGGGTAAAACTATATACAGCATATTAGAAGAGGAAGTGTAGTACGCAAATTGCAATTAAACTGTATTTATGCTGTAAAGGAATGTTTGTGACCAAAGACTATAGAAGCCCACTTTGTCTCAGATCTTTGTGCATGTCTGTGTGATTTTGCAGGCACGTGATGTACAATTAGGCATCTTCGCTGGAGTCATTGGTGGTATATTCAGCACTTTACTTGCATTGGGACGAATGTTCAGACTTCCCAGCTGAGCTGCACATGACAGTACATTTGGGTGGTATAACACCCAGCGAGATGAACACCCAGCCGTGCAGACGGCTGTAGGAGTGGGAGCTGCTGCGATCGGTGTGGGTCTGCTGGCTGCAGCTGCTATCGCTATATCAGATAGTAGGAAAGAGCGGAGGAACAACCAGTGACATGAAGCCCGGCAGTGAAGGTGGAGGGTCAGCTGAAGCACAGACCTGCACAAACAAAGTGTGCCCCCACCCAGCCTGAATGACATCATGCTTCCTTACTGCTGAACAGAGCATGTGAGCGGAGTGGAGCGGAGCGTGAGCGAGGAGCGGAGCGGGCGGAATTTGGTCAGAGCGCGGAGTGGTTTTTTAATTAAGGCTGGAGCGGTCGCTCCGTCTCGCTCCAGTTTCGCTCCGATACCGCTCACACTAAGACTCTGAGGCGTGGCCAGATCTACCCAGAATTCATCTGTACAATTATCAAGACTGTTACACAAATTGGCCGAGATGGAATTCGCAAAGTATTTCACAAAGGAAACTGATAAATCATACAAGTGTACTATTC